TTCATTACACCACCCACTCAGCAAGGAAAAGAAGCACATCTGTTTTTCTGAAGAACTCTCACGACCACAGCCTGCCTTGATTCGGGACCTCGAATCATCTTAGGCTGAAAGTGGGGGACGTTTTCCTCTGATGTTTTTTTAGTGCCACAATAGTCGGTTTGGGTCCAGGCTCTGAACGTCTTAACTGGTTTCGTGGTGCAGCTTTTACGGAGCGTCCTAAGCAAGGTTTCTCTCGAGTTAATTTGTAGCTTAAACGTTCATAAAGCTACGGAAATGGGAAGCGGTTGCTGCTCGTTTGGGGATCACATTTACAGTTCGGCCAAGGAGCCCTGTACTCCTGTTCACATTCTCCAGGCATGATAAGGCCAGACGTGAACGAGAGTTTCATTCTAAAACAATCACTGTTTATTCTGGGGCTGGCTTGGGTTTTTTTTAAGAATTTAAAAGTAATGACTGAAATAGAGTGATTCGGACACGATCTGATACAGTAACCATTTCTTTTGAAATTTCGTGTTTTCAGATTGGTGAATTTAATCCCCAGCTGCAAAAAATTACTGACATTTTGGACTCCATTAAAGAAAAGGTAAAACCAGTTCCTGACGACTGAGGACTCATACACAGCTTGCTGTCTCCTGACCTCTTGTGTCCCTTTGAGAACGCAGACCCCTGACCAGCATGCGCTGCCTTCTCTGAAGCGGATTTCAATGTCCTCAACCAACTCACCTGTTTCCACTTATCTCCTGAAAATTATGAAGGTGTCTTAATCCCCTAGAGTCATCACTGATCGGCCTATGGATGCACAATTAGTTCCTGTTATTGCACGTTTCCAGAATAAGCCTTCGTGCAACACATTTCAATGGCCACTTGCATGAAAACAAATCTAGCACTTCTTAAATAAATCTAAGTGATGTCCTTCTTCCTCTAAAATGTTCAGATGAAGGCGGTAACATTGTTTAAGATACACAAGGCAGATACTAAGTAATTCCATGACTGAATAAGTTCCAGTGAAACTATATTTCGTTGGGTGTATTTTCTTTTTCTTTCTTCTTTTTTTTTTTTGAAGTCTGCGTAGGACGTTTCCGGTGTAATCTGGTCCACTCTCTTTTCTCTCCCAGGGCAAACAAACTCGATTCACGAATTTCGACCCATCATCTCTGCTTCCTCCATCGTGGGATTACTGGACGTATCCGGGCTCCCTCACGGTCCCCCCTCTCCTTGAGAGTGTCACGTGGATCGTTTTAAAACAACCCATAAAGATCAGCTCTCAACAGGTGCGTTAACTTTGTCCAGGCCGAACCTGATGCGTTGGAGGGAACGGCACAATCTTTTCTATTTTTTGTATTTATTTATTTTTAGCAGGAGAAAACCAGATGTTTTACACTGTGCACAGGGAATTCACAACAGCATGAAAATTCCAGAGACAGTGAGGCCACACTGCGTCTATACGATGTTTTTGGACAAAGGAGAGAGTGGGGGTCCTGGTCGCAGATTTCGGAAGTGAGAATGGGCGCTTTACAGATAGTCGGGGGAGGGCTGACTCTCTAAAAGCAAACGAGCAAACGAAGCAACCGGTCCCGCAGTTTCTGCTGCGTCTGAGGCCTGTGCTTCCCTTCACAAAGGGGAGCGAGGTGGGACCAGATGAGATCTCTGTCCTGCTATAGGACGAGACCGCTTCTTCCCCCTCTTCGAGTGGGATGCAGACCCTGACGTGCGTGCAGCGCCCCTTTCAAGCTGTCACCGTTTGCTCCTGTTTTGTTCTGTCCGAGATACAAACGGGCTGGGATAGAAACGGGAGAAACAGGAGATGGGGTGCTCTTGAAAGGTTCTTCCTTCTGACCGCGGTCCCTCAGCCTGCCCCTCCCACAGATTTCACACTCAGAAAGCGGGCAGTGACCCCAAGAGACCCATGAGTGCTGAGGTGATGGAGTCTCTGTCCTCTGTCGGCGTCGCGTCTGTTGATGAAATTCTGTGGGGCTGCCCGAGGGCCTCACGCTTTTCCTGAGCAGTGTGGGCGGCCGCCTGTGCTCTTCTTGGGAAGATGCATCCTCACTCATTATTCTGAAACGTGATTAGAGACCCCTGGCAGGCCGGGCTGTCTGCAGCTCGGGACGACTCTGCCCAGGGCTCGGCACAGGGCCGTGGACCCTGACGGTTCTGACAGGTGCATGCCGTGTGTTCGGGGCGCTGTGCGTAATGGGTTTCGTCCTGTTTTCCTGTTTGAGTTACGCGTTGCAAAATCTTAGCAGGAACATAGTCCGGTAATCTTTGCCCCTGATAAAGCACTTCTGTTCCGGGCGGGCCCCCCGGCCCCGCTGTTTGCCTTTTCTCCCCCAAAACTGGAGCTGGTTCACCTTTACCAAGGTCACGTCTACCAAGGTCACGTCAGGGAACACCCTCGCTGGGCAGAACTCTTGAAGTAACTGCTGTCGACCTTGGCTTCGGGACGAAAGCCAGATTGTGGCCGGGGGCATACTTATTAGAAATGTGATAAAGGTCCGGATGAAAACCCAGAGCTTGACCGACAGGGAGACTCCGGCGAGGGTTTTCGCTCCGTCAGAAAGAAGGCGGGTCACGCCGGGAACAGCGACCTGGCGCCGAGTGCGCGGCCTTCTTGTGGGCCCGTCTGCCGAAGCTCTCGCGTTCACGGCAGATGGTAAATCCGAACAGGCGGAGTAGTAGTAAGCATGATAACGTCGAGGCGGTAACGACGACGTGCCGTGGTTTCAGGGACATCTTTGTTCCTTAAAGCCGCCTGGAAAATAACTGTTTAAAAATCCACCCGTGATTTGGATGAGAATATATCAAAATATATGTTAGTTCCCTAAAATGCATAAGGTTAACTTAATTGAAAAATAACTTCCTGTAATCTTAGGAATTATGACCACCCACTGTGTGTTCCCTCCGCGTCTCATTCGAGACTCCGTTACTTAATATTAACTATTAATGTGCTTTCTTCTGTACAGGAGCGTATATAAAATAATAGCTGAATTTTAGAGCGTTAGGTGACCGATAACCCACTGCGAATCACTCCCTTAAATCTCCTGGAGCAGGAGCACTTTCCGACACTTTCATTTTTAATCAGAGTGAAATGAGTATGAGTAAAAATCCAAATTATTATTATATGATATTATGGCGATTTTAAGAGTTAAAGAACGAAGCAAAAGATATTTTACAAGTCCAACCCCAGTCTAACTGTGAGGAAAAACACCAGACAAAGCCCCGTGGCAGGGGTGGGGGTGTCCCTTCGGCGAAATACCTGCTCGGCACCCCTCGGAACTCTCGAGGGGATCGTAAACAGGGTCAGTGTGAGAAACTGCCATAACTGAGAAACGAGTGAGCGGAAAGGACTAGCAAGTGTCGCCCTGTCTGCCTGGGGCAGGTCCCAGCAGGAGCAGAGAAAGACTCGGGGTTAAGGACAAAGGGAACCTGGATAAAGAATCGACTCTGGTTAAATGACAGCACGTTCACTGGTTCATCACTTGCGAAACATGTGTCACACTTATCATGTAAGACGCCAATGACAGGGGAAGCTGAGTGCGGGGTGTGCGAGGACCGTTTGTACTACCTTTGCAAGAATTCTGTAAACCCGAAGCTGCTGTAAAATTAGTTTATTTTAAAAACCCAGATCGTGGGAGGGCCGATAAGATCGTTCGGTTGCCTGGCTCTCATATAACATGAAGCGAAAATGTCTGTTGTGCGTATGCCACTGACGTAAGAGTTACTTTCCAAAAGATAATTTTTAATCTCAGTGTTGGCAGCTCTTTGTTTTTGAAGTCGCTGGGAAACATTCTTATTATTTATTTTCCAACCCTGCGAAGATTCGATCTTCTTTTTAGTAAGTCGGTGCCCATTTTTTTTCCATCGCTATTTCTTGCCAAGTCACTGTCGGACCTCAAGGGCAAATCAGATGGTTTTCATTTTCCTTTTTCTCATGCAAGTCCATTTTTCTCCCCAGAGTCACTTACTGAAATGCTTGATTTAACTTCTAGGCCGGTGGACAGATAGACCATTTTCTGATGCTTTGGATGACAGAGCTGTCATGCTCTTTGAAAAGCTGACTTTTCTTGCCAAGTCTATCTGGCTCACCCTGAATTATGGGAGTTGGCTTACTCGTCTGCTGAAATTCGATGTGCAGGGTCCTTGGCTGTAATTCTGTGCTCCTTTGAAAAGTTCCCTTTTCTCTTTTGTGATGAAATCATTTGCATACGATAAAATTCGTGAATGTCAACGTGCAGATGATTTGGGTTACTGCGTATTGGGCGAAGCCAAGCACCACGGCTGGAGTTAACGCAGACACGAGACCCCGGCCCAGAAGGCTGCTTTGTGCCGCTCTGAATTCTGTGTCCTTCCTTACCACAGCCTCAGGCGACCTCTGTGATGCACTCACTAGAAGTTTGCCTTTTCTAGGACTTTTTTTAAATGGAATCACACAGTACGTTTGACTTCTTTTGCTCAGCATCATGTTTTTAAGGCTCACCCATTTGATTTAGATTTGTTACTAAGTAATACTCTGTGATACCGATATACCACTATTTAAAAGAACCTATTTACCAATTGGTAAGTAGGGTATTTGGGTTGCTTCTAATTTTGAGCTGTTAGGAAGACGGCTGTCCGTATTTGGATGTTAGGGGTAAGTGACAGGCACACTTTTGCGTGGACACGTCCTTTCGTATCTTGTGGCAATACCTAGGACTTTTATTCTTTCTGTCTCTTTACTGAGACTTCCAGCTACTCCGCAGAGGATTCTCGTGCATTAAAGAGGTGTGTTTAACTTCGTGCGATCCCCGGTAGTTAAAGCTTCTTTAAAACACTGTAACTTCCAAATTTGGTTCACCTTGTGTCTGATTCTGTCGATTTTCTCTTTCTTTGAGAATGTGTTTCACTTTCTCGATTCTTCGTATGTTGAATAACTTTTACAGAGAGTTGTCTATATGACTAAAATCGTATTTGAACACCATCCGCCATCCGAGGTCGAAGGGCGTTTTCCGTAGTTGTTTGCAAGGCACAAGTATGGCAGAAACAAGAATGTTCTAGCTACACGAAAACAATACTCAAAGATCAAAATTCTACAGCGTGGCGACGCCGTAGTTCCCGTGAGAGTCGGGGCCCCGCTGTATTGGGGTGCTCGTAAGTGTGCAGTGCGGTTCCGAGGGCGGGAAGACCCCCGCCGAGGTGAGCTAAGCCACCGCTCCAGCTCCCAGCTGAGGAAACTGCAGACGAGGGACAGTGGGGCCACGCGGCTGGCCGTGACAGAGCAGGGCACGGGCCTCGCTCAGAAAGCCGGTGTCCCTTTGCACTGCCCCATTCTGCCTTTGTAGGGGACGGTCTCTGGTTTCCAGACGTAGCCCCCGCGAGCCGCCCCCGAACGCGTGTGTCGCGTGTGGACTCAGGCCTGTGTTCCCCCCGCAGCTGGCCGCCTTCCGCGCCCTGCTGTGCACCGCGGA